CAAATGGGAGTAATTAGTGGATTCATCTCAAATATTTATCATTACTCTGTATTAGGAAATTCAAAAGCCTCCCTTTTTAGCTATTTTGATACATATACATATATATATATATACAGTAAATTATCTGCTAGATTTCTGATTTAAGCCACTTGGTGGATAATAACATAGTTTTCCGAGTAATTCAAGAGGAAGAAAAGTAATTCAAAAGGAAGAGTGTATGGAAAAGAAAGTGTGTTGAGATTGAGAATATGTCGAATTTATGCAACACCAAGTGGAAGTTGGGATTATTAGCTAAATTGGAATTAGAGCAATTTGGGGAGCTGTCAGTGTGTATTTTAGTAGATGGAGCAGGGGACCTAGGTTCTATCTTTAAAGAGAATAGTAAGGCATGGACCAAAAGAAAACAGATCAAGAGTCTTGTGTGACCCAACACTAAGGGTGAGCATAGAAAGAGAAACCCATAGAGGAGACCAGGAGAAATGACTAGAAAGAGAGAAGCAGAAGAAGGAAGAAATCACTTCCAGCAAAACCCAGGGACATGAGTTCCTGGAAGAAATTGATCAGTTGTGTCAAATCGGCTGAGAGGTCAAATAAATAAAGACTGAAAATTAGAACTAGGGGATATTTTTCATTGAGGTTTCAGTGGAATAATGTAAGGGAAGCTAGATTGTGGCGGGCTAAAGATGAATGGAGGACAGGAAGCAGAGAGCGTCGATGTAAAATATTCTTCCCAGCAGCTTGACTAGAATGGGAAAGTTTTAATAACTGGCAGCCAAAAATAGTCCCAAAGTTGAATGTTTCACTAATCAATTGCTTCATTTATTAAATTCATTTATTGTCTTGAGCGTACTTATGGTTCCTGGGAAGGAATAGTGAAAAGGAAGCATTTAAAAATAGGTCATGGAAGTGATTAAGAGAACAATGCCCAGGAGAAGCAGCCCAGATTCATTTGTGATCACAGGAAATAATGTGGAGCTGGGCGTTTGTGCAGATGGGTCCCTAGATGTAGGGATGGATACGGCACACTTCATAGCTCAAGTTTACTCCGTAGCCTGGAAGTCAGGGTCACTGGCCAGGTCCTGAAGTTGGAACCGTGCCTAGAGACTGAACTGTAATGAGGCCTGTCCTCAAACTTAGGTGGTTTTCTTCAGCTAATACATGACCTTCTGCTCACATTTTCTTTGAGACTGTCCACAAACCTTGTTGATAATACCTTAAAAAATAAAAAAGCATGCGTTTCATAAATAGTGCATCCTCTGATATACTGAACTTTGGAATTCCAAACAGCAAGCTGCCCTTCTTTCCTCCGCACTCCATTCATCTGGTTTTCCAGTCGACAAGAGGAGATAGAGATAGAAAGATGGATTGTGTGTGTGCATGTATAAAAGTTGCACTCTTTAGGGGTGATGACATCTGTAGAACCATCAAAGAAATTTTCCAAGGTTGCAGAAGGAAATATTTGAAAACGGTTGCTTCAATTCATGGAGAAATCTTACTTAGTGCATACCTTCAAATTCTTTAATCCAAACAGATTTATGTGCCAAAATTCTTGTGTTCGACTTTACCTAGATAATCATGAGTCTCCAATTTCCTACCACAGTTCTCAGCTGTTCATTCCACAATGAACTAACTTAAAATACGAGAGGTTAGTGGTCCTGTGGGCCAGCAGAGCAACAGGCCACCAGCTTTACTCTCAGGCTTCGATCTTCAGGACATCTCTGCTGAGTTCTGGAGGTCACTTGAAAGTTTCAATTCTAGTTCAAGTTACATCAGCTGGTAGAACATATTATTTTAAATATTTTGAATAAATTGAAAATCTCTGTGATAACTATTTCTCAGCTTGACCATTCCAGCATGTATTTATTGGTTAAAACAATAGGCACAGTCTTACGTTTTCCCAAAACATTCATTAAACACTAAGAACTGCAGCTCTTCGATATACACAGGCATCCAGTTCTTTAGGAGTTTCAGACTTTGCCTGAACTATCTACCAGAAAGCTTATTGGCAACCTTGGGGAAGAGATGCAGGAAACCCAAGATTAAACTCTTTGACGCTCCTGATGCCCTGAAAAATATTAATACCAAGTGTTTTGAAGTCCATCCAAGAATGTACTCAGGATAATAGCAAAGGGCATAGACACTGTGTTACACAAAGAATGTTTGAAAGAACAAAAACTAATCTAGAACTGAAAGAAATGTGAGAGTTGTGTGTATTAGTATACCTTTTTATGGAAATGAGTTGTCTGTATTAGTGTACTTTCGTATGCAAGTGAGAGACACCATTTTCTTATGACTTGAAGAAAAAGCAAATGTGTTAATTCAAATAATTCAAACTCTAATCAAGGATCTTACATTTGGGCATAGGTGGATCCAAGAACCATACTGTCACCAGAACTCTGTTTTTTGTTTTTGTTTTTGTTTTTGTTTTTAATTGCCAGAGATTAGGTATTCTTGTGAGGGAGAAGGAAAAAGAGAGGGA